GTTTTTCAGAGATGTTTTTCATTTTTCATTTTTTAGGGGAAGTTATTATTTCTAAGTTTATTATTAATTTCTCTTTGTATATTTTCAAATGATCTATTTACAAATTCGGTAGCTCCTTCTAAAGTGAGGTTGGGTAATTTTAGTTTTTCAAATTGTTCTTCGTTTTCAGAGTCTATTTCTTGTCGGTATTGTATATCCAATATTGTTTGGTAATTTTCTATTGTATAAAATATGGTATTAAGTTGTAATTGTAATTCGGGTGTTGTTATAATTCGATCAAGTATTTCTGCTTTGGTATAATATTTCCATGTTCCATGGTTATGTGGTTCCATTTGTATTGGTTCTTGGTTGTTAGCAGGATGTATGTATGTTTTTATTTCGGTTGCATTGGTAGTGTTATATCCATTAGTGTCTTTGGGAGGATAGTAACTATGTCCTATTAATATTAGTTTTTCTTGGAATAGAAGTATTCCTGTTTCTTCTAAAGCTTCTCTTTCTGCTATCCGTTCAAAAGTTTCATGAGGGTATTCTTGTTTTCCTCCAGGTATTCCATACCAGGAGTAGTATATTTTATCAGGATTTATCCGTTGTGCTAATAGTATAGTGGGTAATCCTTCGTTATTGTTTTTAAATATCGCTACTTGGGATAGTTTTATTGTTTGTTCCATTTTGTTCGTATTGATCTATTAAGTCAATTGTATATTGTCTATGGTTTTCTTCTGAATTGTAATCGTTATCGTTATGGGCTATAAGTCTATTATTATATCCGTTATATTCGTGGTTATTTATAGTTTTCCACGTATATTCATCTATTGTTCCAATTATTTTTCTTTCTTTTACTAATTTTTCTGATAGAAGGTTATAAAATAAGTAATCTAATTCTTTTAATAGTATTTCTTCTAATCGTTTTATCTTGATTTTTTTGAATTCTGTTTCTAAGTAATAACTTTGTTTTGTTGTTGTTTTTAATAGTTTTTCCTGTAGATTTATTATTCTGGTGGTTGTATAATAAACTTTTTCAGATTCTTCTAAGTTATCTATTGTCAATAATTTATTATTTTATTTATAGAATAGTTCTGCTTGTTTACTTCGTGCAGTTTGATAGTATTGAATTATTTGTTGTATGAGATTGTTTATATGCAGTTCTTCATAAAATGTTTTAATATAGTCTTCGTGATCTTGAAATTCTGATTGTAGTATTATTTTCTTTACGATGATATAATGGTATTCGTCATATATTGCTTTTGGTGATAATTCTAGTTGAGTTTCAGTTGAATGTTCTCCTAATAATATTGATGTTTCTGTTGTTTGCAGTGAATATAATTCTGAGTAATAATGTAATTCTTCTTTTGAATATTTTTTTGCAGTTTTTATCTTTTCTTTGTATGTTTAATATTCATTTGATGGGTAATCTATTCTGTATGCTGGGTATGTTGTTTCTCCAGTTCTTTGGTATTTATTTAATCATGCTTTTAAATAATTTGATTTTCTTGTTGCTTCTTTTGCTAGATAACTATCGCTATCATCAGATATGTATCTATTGTCAAATAGGTATTGTTGAGATCCTTTTTTAATTAGTTTGTGTTCTCATATTTCTTTTACAAATAATAATAAATTGATATATTTTTTGTTTTCAAATGCATTTCAGAGTGTTAATCCTTCCTTTTCTTCTAAGAGTGGTATTTCTAGTATTTGTATTGTTGAAATTATTTGTAGTATACGTGTATATGCTCTTCATATTTCAAGTACTATTTCTTTTATGGTGGGTCTTTTACTCGGTTATATTGGTAATTTCCTCTTCTTCCTTTTTTATATATGAAGTCTCGGTCTGGTAATCTTCTGTAGATAGTTACTTGTTGATTTTCTATTTCTATTAATTCTTCTAGAAAAGTATATTCTTTATCTGGTATAGTAGTTATTTAGAGGTTTATTGATTCTTTATTTCGAATTTTTTCGTAATGTTCTTTGTGTCCTATATTTCTGAAGAATATTTCTTGGTAAGAGTATTCTTCTGAAAGTTTAATTACTTCTAAAGTATCTTCTTCAGTACTTCTATACAGTCGTAGATTATTTATTATTTTTTGATTAGTTCTTTTTGCAGTTTCTAATTAGTCATATGTTAAATGTGCTTTGTTAAGTGTTTGTTCATGTTTTAAAGCTTCTTTAGTTGAAATTATTGTTTTGTGGAGTTTGTATTCACTTCTTGTTACTCCTTCATTTTGTGAAAGTAATTGTATTGATACAAGCGAAGCTTGTATTATTCTTATTATTTCAATTGGTATAAAAAATTCTTTTTCTAATCTGTTTAGGTTTAATAAGAAGTTTTCAATATACGTGTGTATATCTGTTAATTCTAGTAATATTTTATCTTTTTTTATTTGTTGCCGTGTATGGTAAGTTGTATTTTTTCTTTCTATTAGCAAAGCTGATAATATTGCAGCATCTAATAAGTTTATTGTTGATCCTATTTTTTGATTTGCAGTTAGATTTATCCTATTGATTAAATCTTGTATTGTTCATTTTATGTCTCTTCAGATACTTCCTATTGGTCTTTGTTTTAGTATGTCTTCATTTTTATCTTTCTTTCTTGGGTCAAAATTATCAGTTGGATATAGTGTTCTATCTTTATAGAGTAACCAACGTTCAAAGCATAAAGGGTTATATTCACTTTGTAATTCTTCTAAGAGTATGTCTATTAGGTTATCTATTGTTTCTATATAATCGTATGATTGTAATCTTGTTAATATTAATATTAAATTTCTAATGTAGTGTTGGTTAATAACTAAGTATTTGTTTGTTTAATTAATTGTTCGATATGTAATATAACTAATGATTGGTCTGTTAGCCAATAGTCTATATCAGTTCTTTATTGTTTTGTAAGATTAGGATTATTTGCAGGTAATCTATTGAATATAATTCCTATTCTTTCTTATATCATTTTAGGTATATCTTCTTCGTGGGATAGTGTTGTAAGGGTAAGTATATTATTACTTATTTGTGCTTTATAAAATTCTTTATCGTCTTGTCTGTTAAATGTTTGTCTGGTTGCTAATGCTGATTTTAATAATATACAAACTGTTTTGATTCTTTGAATTTTTGTTCTAAGATTCATATGTTAATGGTTCAGTAAATGCTATTGTATTTAATTCTTCTTCAAGATTAATATAGTCTTGATATATTGTACAAATATATAATTTTGGTAGTATCATTTCACATATTAGTTTTCTGCTTGTTTTGCAAGTTATTTCTTTTAAGAATGCTTGGGTTTCTTGTATTACTTTTATTAAAATTATTGGGTTTGCAGAGATATTATTTACAGGTAGTTCTTCTAAGTTTAGTACAGTTTCTGCTTTTTGAGTTTATCAGTTAAATCTATATGTTATTGTTTTAGGGAATCATTTTTCTATTTTATCTTGTATTTTTGTTGCTATGAAAAATATGTATTGTTTAGTTTCTAGTTTTATATAAGAAATTTGTTGATTTCTTTGATTATCAGTTTGATTTGTTCTTTTTGATTATAGTAATCGTTATCTATTAGTTTATCTAGTTCTTCTATTATTTTATCTACTTTGGTATAGTGTCATTTGTTTAAGTAATCCAATAAGGGTACAAGTTCTGTATTTATATATGCTACAGGTTTTGCTTTTAATAGTTGTTTTATTTCTTCAAGTTTTTCGAAGAGGGTGTATTCTTTTTCTAATTGGGGGTTGTTTGTTGAATATTATATAATTGAGTAATTGTTGTCTTTTCTTGTTAGACAAGATAATTGTAAAGTTGATTTTCAAGATTAAAACAGTTATATTTTTTTGTGTTAAGTTTCCAGTATATATAATATAGTCCTTGTTTGTTTAGTTCAATAACGTTTTCTTTGAATTGGGTTCTTTCTTCTGGTGATTTGAATAATAATAGTTTAAGGGTTGTTACTATATTTTTGTATTGTAATAGTATGTGTATTTAATAGTTATTACAGTAGTATGAGTCTACTTCTCTTTTATCATTGATAAATAATTCTTTTGAGGTTATTTCTTTATATACTCTGAATAAAGCACTTTTATACTGTTAAATTAATTTTTTTGTTGTTTTTGAATCAGCAAAATAAAATCTACTTTGAACATAGTATGCTGCATTATTCCAAAGGTTTAAAGATTTGTATTGGTATGTATTATAAGCTGTTATTTTTTTATCATATTCTAATTCGAATTGTTCTTTAACTTTTGTGAAATTTGCTTTGCAGATAGTAAGTAAATAGTCTATTTTGGATTTTATTTCTGCATTGGTTAATGATATTGGTTGGTTGATTTTTGCTTGTTGTGCTAAATTATTTCGATTATATCTTTTAAATTCTTTTTCAATTGTTAATTTGAATTCTTTTTCAATTGTTAATTTAAATTCTTTGTTTAAGTTTTGTAGTTCTTGTTTTAATTCTTCAAGTTGTTGTTTTTTATTCATTCGTATATTCTTTTATGGGTTTCTATTGTTTTCTGTATCGAATCTCATAAGAGTCTTCTTTGTTTTTTAGCTTTATTGTAATCATGATATCATTGTTCTTTAGTTTCTTCTAGATCTTTGATTTGTTCTTCAACTGTTAGAATATCCTTTTCTTCTAATTGTTGGTTGAAAATAGTAGTTGTTAGGTTTTTCAAATTATTGTAGGTTATACTTTATTCTACTTGATATAATATTTGTCTAACTTTTGGATGGTATTGTATTTCTCAAAAGCAATAAAGTGAAATAGTTTCTCATTTAAAGTTGAATATTCTTCCAATATCTTTTTCTTCAATTATACTGTTGAGGTGTTTTCCTTTAATTATAGTATTAATTATTGATGTTATTGCTTGTTTGAATAATAATAATTGTTGTAGTATTCTATCGTATTTGTATATTACTTCTTCTCTTGGTGATGCTTTTTGCATTAAATAATATTTTGTTGTTTGAGTTGGTTAAGGTAATTTATGAATAAGGGATCAGTTGTTGTTTTAGCTTTTCTTTCAAGTTGTTGAATATATTGTTGATGGTAGTTGGATTCTAATTTATATCCAGGTTTAGGTCCTTTTTTCTTATATTGTTTGTATTCACAAAGTATTTTTTTTCTATATAGTTGTCACAATCATTGATGTTTGTTAATAGTATTTTAGCACACTTTTGTTTATGGTTATAGCACTCTATACAGGCGTATTTGGAGTATGGTGTGGTGTATATTTTTTTTGTTATGGTGTATTTGGGCATCTACTTTCTTCATCAGAGTATCTTGTAGGTTGTCA